TCGATTGATATTAACAATATAATTTTATTGTGTTTATATATTAAATTGTTGGGATAAAATGAATTCATATATATATATACTAGTTTAGTACCCGTCTGATGGACGGGTTATCTATATTTAAAATTAAATTAAAATAAAAATTTATTATAACTTATAAAAAAATAATTTCCAAATTTTTTTAAAAAGTAAATAAGAGAAATTAATTTCATTTGTTAAGAGATTTATTTGGTTTGAAGTATCAAATAAACGTTATATATATATATATATATATATATATCTTAAACTTCCTCATTAAACGTTAATTATAAAAATCTAGTAATGTCAAATTGACAATCACCAAAACATTTGGGAGCTACAGTAAAACCTCTATAAATTAATAATATTGGGACCATGAAAATATGTTAATTTATAGAGGTTTTAATTTGTCGATAAATTAATTATTATTAATTTATAGAGAGATTTTCCTAATTTGGAAAGTTTTTCCAAAAAAAATTAAAAATAAAATCTAACAAAAACTAAAGTGTCTTTATATACATATATTTTGAAATTTTTACCTAATTATTAATTTATAGTATTGATGGGACTATATATTTACAAAGGATTTTCAAAAAAAATATTATCTTATTATTTTATCAAAATGTGGTTAAAATTACACTGGTCCGAGTTGGGACCAGAGAAATTTATTAATTTATAGAGAATATTAATTTATCGAGTATTAATTTATATAGGTTATATTTGGGAGCTATTCACCATTACTCATAATATTGCTAAAATATTTTTAAAAATCTTAATTTAGCAATTATCCTCTAAAACATGATTATACCATTTTGTAAAAAAAAATTATTTCTTAACTTTAAAATTTCAAAAAATCATTCTCAGACTATGAAAATTAATTAATTATTATTTAATATGATGGTAAATTTCTTTCAAATTAACATCAATCTAAAATATGATGTTAAATACAAATATAGTCATTTGTAAATAAATTCATATAAACAACGCAAATAAACATAAAGATTCTAAAATAAATTATAGCATCGTTGAGGAAAACATTAAAAAAACTTTCAAATACGAATTATAAAAAACTACATATTTTCTTTAAAAATATTTTAAAATTACTATATTACGATTTATATTGAACTTTGTTATCTTTAATTTAAGCTAAAAATATATTTTTGAAATTTTTTATTCACCCTTATGTTTTAGACAATGAAATTGCTCAATGGCATAATACATTCATACATATATTAAAAATTAAACAAATATAACATATTATAAAA